CCCCGCCGACGCGCTTCCCCGCCGACGCCGGCGCGGGAGGGGCGGGGCGGCCGTTCGCGCTCCCGCCCCGCACACCGACTGACACGTAGAGCCGCCAATCAGAGATCGGGAGCGGAGGCCCTGGGCGGGGAGGGGCGGAGCCTCCGCGCGCCGTCGGGGCAGCCGGCGGGAGCAGTGTGGGAGCGTGGGTGGAAACCAGCCCTTAACTTTCAGGCTCTGATCCTGGGCCTGCTACTGGGGGGACGTCCTGGTAGTTTCACCTAGAAAGGTCCTGCAGCCTCCCTGACACTTTACACCCAAAGCCCGTCGAGTGGGAAGCAACTGCGGTGGGAGGGTGTGGACTGACGATGGGGGAGCAGGGCCAGACGTCGAAAGGGGTCCCTTCCCTTCCTGGAGCCTTAAAGCTGTCAGTCACGCCCAGGGAGGGCGAGACTGGAACCAGACGCAGCTGCATGCCCAGAGCCTGTTCCACGAGATTGGGTAAAAGTCCTGATCTTGCTTTCCCCTTGGGTCAGCAGAACTGGCTCAAGTTGGAACTCACAGTTTACTTTAGGAGCCGAGAAAGTGCATTATTGACAAACTGGGTCCTCTCATGAAATGGTTTGTCAAAAGGGAAAATATGGGAACTGTTAACAGTGAAAATAAACAATCCGACAATAAAAGACTCAAGACTTTTTGACCCCCGATTTACTAATCTGGGCCCCCCTCCCCCCGTTTTCTTAGAAGAAAAGAAAGAAAATGAGAATTCTGGTGAGTACGACGCGTCCTTTCTCCAGGACTGGATAAGCAATCCCAGAGACAAACAGCTTTGAACATGAAATATTCTGGCAGCTTTTGAAAGAGAAGTTCCGTGACTAAAGAAAGATGTGGAAAACAGCCTGGAATTTTATGTGGCTTCAGCAGCCTTCGGGCAATGTCTGCAATTGAATCATTTCCCTGTTAAGTCTCAGGACCGCGGATCGGAGGAGCAGTAGCCCTTAGTATCTGCAGCAGGAGCAGCAGCAGTTTAGGACAACTGACTTGTGACCATGTGCTTCGATATCTGTTCTACATGCATCATTTTATTTAATTACCACACTTGCCCGAGAGATAAGTACTGTTATTATTCCAGGTTTACAAATGAGGAAACTGAGGTCTGTTCACTTGCTAGTGCAGGGTTTGAACTTGAGTCTGGCTTCTTCACCAGAGTGGAAACCAGTCTGAAAACCATGAGTCACAGGAGATGATAAAAATGTTCCCACACTCTGCTGTATGTTTAGAAAAAAATATATCCCTCCTATCAATTCAGATATTTAACATGGAGGGATACTTTTCTAAAGCCGCAAACTATCACTTGCGTGTGTAAAGCTCTATTACTCATATGAATTAAATGACTTAAAATTGCTGAGCCTAATTAAACCTAAACAAGGTTCCGAGCAGCGATGAGTAAAAACCCTCTGTCCTAGAAACTGAAAATACTGGTAATTTCTTGTGGTATAATAAAATAAAATTTGCTTAAGTACTTTAACCACAAAACAAATTAGCCAGTTTCTTTCTCATTTTCCCACAAGATTGTACTTATGAGCCCAGCTGTTTGGACTTAGCCTAAAATCCCTCCAGTTAATCTGCATGCCATGGTTAGCTCTAATGTCCATGGTTACTCCAAAACCTGAGACGTCTCTCAGGGTATGCTTGAAGACCTCAACTTTTAGCCAGGCTGCCCGTACAAGAGCCACATGGGTTTACATACGTTGCTTAATGTTTTTGTGTCTTAGCTTCCTCATCTCTAAAATGGGGCTCATGAGAGTATCTATGGGTTTTTTAATGGAAATTAAGTGATGGAATATAAGCAAATCCCTTAGAATAATATTTGGCACATAAACCTTGTACAAATATTAGTCAATAGAAGGCATGATTGCACATAGAGATTTGTGCGTGGCTTTCTGGTCTACCTTCTGTGATTTACTACATCTTAAGGAAGATACTGATTTTCTTTTTTTGATAGAGACAGTGAGCACATTGGAGACAACAACTTTGAACTAGAATCCTGTCACTTACCTAGCTCAGAGCTTGAATATTTATAAATGGATACATTGAGATATGGTGTGAGGCTAGCTGAAGACTGAGCTCCACAAAGACTTCAGTAGCAGTTGCTGCAGCTGAAGTGTTTACACAAATCACAGTCACAGAATACCCACTTGAGAACAACCAAAAACAAGGATAGTACCTAGCACTGTGCTCAGAAGCCACCTGACAGTGACTCTGAAAAGTTCAGAATGAGGGACCCAGGGCAGCAGCTGTGCTAGTTAGTTATAAGGGTACTTGTGTCCAAACCAGAAGAAAGGAAGGAAAGAAGGGAGGGAAGGAGAGAGGGAGGGAGGGCAGGAGGGAGACAAACTAGTCAATAGTTTCTAGCAAGTATTTAATTAGAGCTTTTGTTCTCATGATGTTTTCTTGGCCGTTTGAACTCTGAAAATGGAATGTGAATATCCAGAACCACTGGAGATATTGCAAAAATGTATTTTCCACTGTTATTTCAAAGCCTTCATTTTACTCAGGGGTCACTCATTTGTATCCAGGCCAGCCTCAGGCTAGCACAAGTTGACAGTGATTTGAGAACAGTGGAACCCATTAAACCTTAATCTGGAAAATCAGTATAATCTCATCCCTAGTGCAAGCTTCCCTGGTAGACTAACATCCTCTTCTCATAGGAAATATACAAAGGGAGATGTTGGGTCAGTTTCCATCATTTGCTTACCAGCAACGGCGCCTGACACTCGGAATGACTTACTCAGTATTCAGTAAATGAAACCATTAGCGAATATGTGAGTCAAGGCAAGGATCTGACTGCATACTACTGAGAACCAGTGAAAATTTCTAGGCCACACTCATTTCTAGCTGTCTTTATCCGGCTTCTTTGTCTTTTATGTGTATGTGTGGCAAAACAGACACACATAAAACTTAGTGTTTTAACCACTTGAGTGTATTGTTCAGAGGCAGTAAGTGCCTTCGTGTGTTACACACCCATCACTGATTGTCCCTTTGTGCAACGGTTTTCACCTTCCCGAATGGAAAGTCTACACCTACAAAACACTAACCCTTTGCTGCTCCTTCCTTCAAAGCCTTGAACATCACCATCCTTTTTTCTGTCTTTGATTTTGACTATTATAGGTACCTCACGTCAGTGGCTGATTATACAGTATTTATTCTTTGTGGCTGATTATTTTACTTAGATAATGTCTCCGAAGTTTATCCATCTTATGGCATGTGTCAGAGTTTCCTTCCTTTTAAAGGCTAAATAATATTCCATTGCATGTAAGTACCACATCTTGTGCATTCATTTATCTGTCAGTGGACACTTGGCTTGTTTCTACTCTTTGATTATTGTGAATTACACTGATGTGAACGTAGGTGACATAGGTGTCCAAACACCTGTTCGAATATATGTTTTCACTTCTTTGGAGTTTATGCCCAGAAGAGGGCTATCAGATTATATGGTAATTTTATATTTAACTTTTTTGTGGTGGGGTACTGGGAACTGAACTCAGGACCTTGGGCTTGCCAGGCAGGCACTGTGCCAATGAGCTATGTCCTCGATTCCTATATTTCACTTTTAAAGGAAACAGCAGATTGCTTTCCATACCGGAAATCATTCCTACCAGCAATATATGAGGGTTCCAATCTCTCCACACCTTTCCCTGCACTTATTATTTGCATTGCTCAGGACTGAACTCAGGGCTCCGCACATTCTTGGGCAAGTGCTCTATCACTGAGACACAACCGCTAGCCTACACTTATGTTTTTGTTTTATAACAGCCAACCTAATAGATGTGAAGTAGAATCTCACTATACTTTAGACTTGCATTTCTCTAATCATGAGTAGAGTTGGGCACTTTTATATGTACTTGTTAATCATTTGTCTAATTTCTTTGGAGAAATATCTATGTGGGTCTTTTGACCACTCATTGTCTTTAAAACATTGTGCCATCATTGTTTGTGTTTTTTGTCGTTTTGAGACAGGGTCTCGCTATGCAGTTCAGGCTGCCCTTGAGTTCACTTCATAGCCCAAGCTGGTCTCAGACTCACAACAATCCTCCTGCCTCAGCCTCCCAAGTGCTGGGATTACAAGCATGCACCACCATGCCTGGCCTATGCTATCATTATTGGTGTCCCTAAAAAGTAGCATTTGGAAAACCCTTATTTTTTCTACTTCTGTTCGGCTTTGAATCGGATCATATGTTATTTTTTATTTACATAAAGCCCATGAATAACTACAAAACTTTTATGCCCAAACTGGTAAGAGCCATTTTTGTATTAGAGAACAGCCTATGGAGGTCAGGAGGTGATGATGATGATCATCATGGTGATACCAGAGCTCAGCTGAGCACTCTGGAAGTACCAGCCTCTGCGTTCACTCTTGTAATCCTACGTCCCTAATTGAGCTGGGCACTATTCTTCTTCCCAATGATGGATAAAGAAACAGAGGAACAAAAGGCTTAGGGTCATGCAGCTGGAAAGTAACACTGTAG